TTATTATTATTATTATTATTATTATTATTATTATTATTAATCTGTTAACACAGAAAGACCCCAGTTCCCAAATGGGGGATTGAATCAGGACCTTGTAAATGGCATTTTCATGTGATACTGTGAAATCTATAAAGATAACCTGTTTTTTTAATCCATCCAGTGGTTTATGAGGTATTCTACTAATGCTACAAACACAAACTTTTGTGCGTGAGAACAAACATGACTGCCTCTTGCCTTCGGCAGCGGGCAGTACCTGACACTGCATTGATGCATTTTTGGATTTGCAGACTTGACAGCGTAAGATAAAACTCGTAGCTGTAGGCGTGCATTAATCAATAACTTGACACATAAACAACAAGAAAAAAAAGGTGCTCCTTGGCAAATATAAGCAAGGAAGCAGCCAGGGTTTTAGCCCGACTATAGGTGAGGTGTAGGCGAACATCTATGTGATGTTTACGTCTAGAAAGGAAATCTGACCCTCACATTAACATTGGCAGAATCACATTATGTTTTAAGTCTGGATTCCTCTGCTCTATAGTTGGTCCTTGGGACAGAAATGTGACTGGTGGAAGTATTTGGGACGATTCTTTTTGGTTAGCTACATGTCTGTGGTGTGAGAAAATATATAATGACCATCTGTAGTTAATAGATTTATATGATTATAAACACCTATTTAAAAAATATGTAGCATACATTAGAGATACTTAAAAAAAATGTACTTTCACTTCTCTTTAAATGCAGTTCCTTCTGTGACTCACTGGTCTCGGACTAAAATAAATTTCCCTTTGACAAACTAGACAGCGTCTTATTTCTTCCCCATGAAAGAATTATTGAATAATAAAGCATTTTTCATCTGTCAGTTCTTGACTATCTCTTGATCAGCTGGAAAGCAGTGTAAAAATAGCTGGAATGTTTTTTTTTTTTTTTTTTTTTTGTCGTCAGCCCTGTGAGGAGCCGACACAGGCCGCCCACCATGCAGCCCACTGTGTACCTGCTGCAGAAAGGAAGCTGCCGCTGGCCTCGCTCCAGCCTGCTTTAGATGTGACAGGACGTCTTAGCTGTCTGCCTTGGAAGCTTCACCTTCTGGACTTGTAAGCCTCAGCGGTACACGACTGCTGATTACAGCAGATGTGTTGCAGTTTGTGATTGCATGTAGCTTCGCTGAGCTCCACGTTTGGTCCGTTTTAATGAAAAAGAGCCAGTTCAGTCATCCAAAAACCTTGGTCCCCCACAAAAAAAAGAGGCGTAACGCGAGATTTTAATTCACCCAAGTAAGTTTATTTCCACTCATGCCTCAAATTAAGATGATATATTTTAATTGTTTATTCTGTTATTGCTGAGTAGATGTACAACCTCGATACTCAGGAACACTCCCATCAATCATTGTAAACACAGCTCACCGTGCCATCCACAAACGCTGGTTAAAGCTCTGTCATGCAAAGAAAAAAGCCATATGTGAACACCATCCAGATATGCCACAGTCTGGGTAAAGTCAAAAACAGGTCTAGGGTCAGGGGAGTCAAAATTAGAAATTTTTTTGGAAGCCACAGATGCCACATTATTCGTACTAAAAAGGGGATGGACCCATTGACCTGTTAACAGTGCACAGTCCAAAAGCCTGCCTCTCTGATGCTATGAGGGTGCATTAGTGACTATTAAGTAATATGAGTTTAGATCATTTCTGAAATGCTCAAAGGTTCCCACATAACTTCTCTCATTAACAGAAAGGGGGTGGGACTCGACTCGTACTGGAACCAGTCTACACGGGAAGCTGGTTGTGTTCTGGCCTCAACTTCCAGGTTTCGTCGGAAAAATGAATCCATGAAGACACTTTCTAATAGATAAGTCTTAATATAGAATCCATCCATCCATCCATCCATCCATCCATCCATCCATCCTTCCATCCATCCTTCCATCCATTATTTATACCCGCTTCTTCCTTTCAGGGTCACGAGGGTCACAGTGTGAGGGGCAGGGTACACCCTGGACAGGTCGCAAGTCCATCACAGTTCAAATATAATCCTTTTAAATTTTCTGTGAAATGAACCATTGTTCTCAGACTGCGATTTGCTAACTCCACATTGCAGCATTTTTTAAATAACCTATGGATGACACCAACATGATTAGGTTGCATGAGTCGCAACTTTACTTTGTGCAGGTACAGCTGAGCTCCATGGGAAATATCACTTTCTGTCTGCAGTTTCCCAAAGTACAAACAAATAAGTCTGTTTTGTGAGTCAAAGAGACATAATAGAACGTTTTAGCTGAAGTGAAAGTGTTAAATTTTTATAATAATAAACCCTAAAAACATCACTTCGTCCACGAAACACGATGGTGGTGGTAGTATGGTTTGGGACTGTTTTTGGTTTATCCGGACTAAGGCTGCTTATGATGACTGCTGCAAGGAAGATACTCTGTAACGCAGGTTCAGAAAAGCTCCTCAACAGGTATGGAAACATTCCAACGTGTCAGCGTTTGTCTCTTTTTGATGGCCTCGGGGCAGAAAGTGAGAGGCGGAACTGAGACACACAATCTTCAAGCTTTTCTTTTATGACTCTCGTTTTTAGCCAGTCTCCTCTCCGTCCTCTGCTTCCTCCGTCCAACCACACCTGCATCACGCTAACCGTGTATTTATTTGGCCATCAGTTGAACGAGCATCGAGAAGTCTGCACAAGTCGTTAGGACGAATTCAAGCTGGATTTCTAAGAAAACAGCGGCTTTTGATGGGTTTTACCCCCCTGCTGTTTAAGTGTGTTCTTCCTGCAACGCTCGTCTCCCTTCGTGTGTTTTGTAAGGTTTTTGCGGCAACATCATGTCCGTCAGCCTCCACCCTTAATTCATAAGTAATGATCTTGCAGCAGGCAGGCAGAGAGCCCGGCAGAGTGGCAGAGCAGACATGCTGGCTGGCCGGGACTCGTCTCCGTGGACCAGAGTCACTTATCCCTCTCTGAAATGACATATGCATCGACTGGCTCAAGGAAACGAGCTAAAAACAGACTGGATTTGGGAAGCCTTTATGTTTATATTTTTTCTGTCTCTGTATGTGAAATTGTTGAACAAATTGTCAAGCTTATGTCCAGAATAATTAGTAGTAATATAATACTATTACTATTATATAATATAATCTAAAATCAGAACAAATTTAAAGGACAGATGCACTTCAGTAAAAGGTATAAGACTATGGAATGATCTGGAAAATGACYATAAAARCATTGGATCAGTGAATTCCTTTAAGAAAACAATCAAAGAAAAATTGTTAATGATATATGAAATTTTTTAATTTATATTAATTACTGTTTGAGGACTTGAATTTTATGTTTTATTTTTGTAATTTGCTTTATCATTGTTTGAATTGTATTTTTTTAAAAGGAGGAGATATAATTTTTCTTCTGCTGCCTTTCATTTTGTTTTATTTGTATTGTTTTATTGTGTGAAATGTTTTGTTTGTTTTTTTTAATGAAATGAAAAAATGAATTAAACATAAGCATAATAAACGGTCTGTTAAGAAATGTATTAACACGGTGAGAAAGTACTTGATTAAAATTAGGTTTAATCTTCTCAGCTTGTTTGATGAAACATCCATCAATTTGTCTCAGAGACACTATTTTCAACAGTAAAACTGATATTATTGGCAGACAAAAAACATCTTAAGAGTTACTGTGAAAGAAAGCTTTTAAGCAAAATATGAAGAACAAAAATAAAGGTTAGCTTAAAGGGACAATATTATGTGTTTCTCAGGCATATATTTAAATACTATACCATAATGAAGTATCTATGTCACCTTTAGCTGTTATTAAAATGCTGTTTTTATGTTTAAATAGAAAATAAACTTATCTTTTCATCACTTCCTCTTCTAAATGCCTTGAAATTGGCCTCTGTCTCTTTAAGAACCACCTTCGCGTCTGTCTCGCGGGGAGTGGGGGTGGCTGCCATGATTCAGTTTACTTGGCATCTGAAAATACATTTCCTCAAAGGTATTTTTAATCTGAAAAGAGCTTCATTGAGTGAGAACTAATGTTGAGAGCTCAGCAGACAATTAGGTTTCACTTTCACCTGAGAGCCTGCAGGAGTCATGGGTGGGGTGTGTGTGGTGGGGGCGCTCTGCCATGAGGAAGTTCGGCTTAAAGACACGTCCCAGGGGCGTTTCTGGTCCCCACCTGTCGTTTTGCTCCTCAGCATGACTGCCTAAAAATGCTGCAGGATTTCTCAAACATGCATGAATGAGTCAAAGCAAGGCTTTGGGCATGTTTTTTTTTTATGAGAATGTAACATTATAACATGAAATAAACCTCAAAAAAGTTGATTTTACATGATATTGCCTCTTTAAAGACAGCGTTCAGCCCTATTGAGATAAACAGGATGTGAGCAAACATTGTCTTACCTGTTGTAGATAGCTTTTTGAGTGATCTCAGTTTGACTGATTGGTGAGCTAATGGTTAGTTAGTTTTATGATCTGGTCACGAATATGGTGCCTGTTGTATTTTTTTATTGACCCCTTAATTAATAAAGCAAATTAAATCTTTAAAACATAAATGTTTCCACTTTAATGTTCTGTTTTCAAATGTTGACAAAGCAAAACTATACCATTTATTTTATTCTGTAACAAGGAAGCAATTTCTTTGTTGGTCTTAGGAGAGACAAAAAAAGTGCCAGGATAATAAAAGTTTCATCACTTTTGTTTCCTTTAGTGTAATGTTTGGTGTCGTTGTGAAGTTTTAGCATTCTTGCTTTTAAATAAAGGGTTGGAATTCTCAACGACATCACTCTAGACCAATAAAGATTGAGTTTTCAAAACAGCACTCTTGTGAACAGAACTGGCATGTTGCCAAGCCAGGTGATAAATCAACAAGCTGCATAGCATTTTAAAGGTTTTGAGATGGAGAATTTGAAAAATGTGTCATTGTGACTCCTTTTGCCAGCCTGAGTCGCTTAATAGAAAGTCTTCTGTCAGGACAGCGGCGTGACGACTGACCGCCCTGTCCCTCTGTCTGCTCTCTCAGATGTCATGGCGTCCTCAGTACCGCAGCTCCAAGTTCCGCCACGTGTTCGGGAAAGCTGCCACGAAGGAGGGCTGCTATGACGGCGTGCCGATCACACGCAGCGTCCAGGACAACCACTTCTGCGCCGTCAACCCTCGGTTCCTCGCCATCATCACCGAGTGTTCCGGGGGAGGGGCCTTCCTGGTTCTGTCCATCAACCATGTGAGTCTCACAGCTACGCACGCATGCACGCACGCACGCACACACACGCACACACACGCACACACACACATCAGCCTCAATAATTTCATGTCATGTTTTAAACATGTCTTATTTTTTATGTCTGAATTTACTCCTTTAGAAACTTTGCTAATACTTTTGCTAATTTATCATAGTAAGGTTCAGTAAATGAACAGGCAATATCTTACCTGTTGTAGATGGCTCTTTGAATGGCCTCAGTTCAGAGTAGTAATTTAACTCTGGCTAGTTTGAGCTATTGGCTAGTTCGTGTGTGTCCATTATTAACCGTTAGCAGCTGCTTCAGACATCTTTAATACAAACTTTTTCCTTTGCAGCTCATTTGTTGTTGTTTTTTGTAAACTTTTACATTGTAAGAAAATTCCAATTATTTATTACAAATTGTAGCAGCAGCTAGCTGTAGCATTTCCAAAGCCACGTCTTGCAGGAATAATGTATTTTTTGACAGATTAACTAGGTAAGATTAAAAGAATTGCCATTTAAAGTAAAAAAAGTATTTACATGAACCATTGTAAGATTTTAGCGACTGCAGTGACATTGTGTTTAGATGCCAGCATCTTTACCTCGCTCAGATAAGCTGTTATCAGTTCTATCAGAAATAAAACCTGTTAGTCTTTTTAATGAGCTATCTACAACAGGTAAGATATCATATGTTCATACCCTTTCCACAGAACCCTATTTTGAAATATCTGAACAGTCCCTTTATAGTCTGATGAAGTTCACTCTTTTTACTTTGAGTATGCTGAGTGTTTGCATCTTTTATCACCCATCAAAGAAAAGTAGTTGTGTTTATTTTTGCTCATGTTTTTGTGAGTGCACCTGTGTTCTTCTTTCTCTGTTAGTAAAATATCTCAGACAGCTGGAGAAATTTTAATGAAACTTGTAGGAAGTAATCATTGGATCTACTGTATATCTTCAGCTATTTAATTTTTGAGTAATCTAGGTCAACATTAGAGGCAGTTATTAAAAAATAAAAAAGTAACACTTGTTTTTGTTTTATCTTTATTTGTTTGACTCTCACTCCTGTTTGGGAGGTGATTTTTATTTTTACACTGATCTTGGAGTCGGCTCACCTGGAGGAGACGTCTCTGCTCTCAGATTCCAAAAAAAGCACAAAACGAGTTCAGCCAGAATTCTCTCTGAGTTTGAGGAAAACTTTCAGCGTCGTCTCGCTTCGTCACGTGTGGGTGTTTTTTTTTAAGTTTTTTTTTTATTTTGTTCGACACTTCCTTATCTCACCAGAACTCATTCACACAAACCTTATCTTTTACAAATGATCTCACTTGCTGATGCTATCGTGTAACGGTGGTTTCTCTTGCAAAAAGAAAACATCCACTCTCAGGTCACAGTTTCTCTGAATATCTCCAGGTCTGATCAGCCCTCCCTCTGTCTGCCTTATCACCAGCCTCCTCGCATGATCAGGGATTGCATATGAGCTCAGGAATGACATAACTCATCTTCTGACACCCCCTCCGCTCGCTGCCCACCTTTCTGTCTCGAGGAGGTTAAACTTCAGTGCTGCTCTTGGCCGCCACAACCAGCCATCCTTAAGAAACACAAAAATTACTACAATTTTACAGATATTGAGCTTAATTTTAGTGTTGTAGCCACAAATCCCACCAACACGTACACCAGGTGATCCTTGCTACTTGTTGTCTGTTAGCGAAATATCTTATGAACCACAAGGCAGAATTCAATTAAACTTAGAGGAAAAATTTGTTGGATCTACTTCTGGAACTGTTTCAGTTTTAGAGTCTATTCAAGTCACACTGGCTGCCACAGCTGATCTACACTAGCAAACACAAAAATGACTCTAACTCCATCGTTTAGAAAGATATTGAGCTAAAATTCAATGCGGTAGTAGCCGAGAGTCATTTACAACACATACTGTGAGCGCACAATCTCACGATGTTTTTGACCAGAACAATTCCAACATGTGATCAGCTTAGTTTTTAAAAGGTGAAATGAAAGGCGGCGGAGCGATAGGCATTTCGTCAAAGAATGTTCAGCCTTTAAATTGTGCGTACGTTATGCTTGCCTAAAGCACGGATAATCCCCACCACCACCACCACCACCACGTTGTACCTGCGCTGCGAACGTCAGGCGAAGGAACGCTCTGTTCTGACACAATTAGCGGTCCCACTGAGGCGAAAAAACATTTTTGTGACTTTTTTCCTTGTAAGAGGATCATCAGATACAAGGGAGATGTCAGAAGTGTTTTGTATAATTCTGTCTTCAAGCGTGTTGTGATGAAGAAATGAAAACTGGAATACGTGCCCCAGCCTGCAGAGCTGCAACACGTCCTGTTGAGTCACTGCTTCTCACTGGCCATCTGAAAACCTGACTTTGTTTTTATGCCACACTTTGTCAATAGATTTGGCTATTTAAGGGGTCATCGTAACATTTTAAGGGTCAGAGTTTAGTAGAACCTGCTGTATCTGTGAAAGAAGGTGTCGCTCGTGTTGCTGACGGCCTGAGGGCGTGTTGGCTGAGTGAGAAGTGTTGGCTGCAGTTCGCAGGTATGAAAGTGAAAAACATCTGGCAGCTCTTCCCAGTAAATGACCTCACATCCAAACCACTAGGTGGATTTTTATGTCTTTCAGGAAGTACCTGTATCTACAGATTAACATTCAAAGTCAACAGGTTCAAGATGGCCGCCACAGCAGTCATAACTCAAATTCACAGAGCTAAAATCTGGCGTGGCAGTAGCTAAGAGTCATCCCCAACAAACACTCTGAGCGCTAACGCATCTAGCAAGACTTGTGATTTTTAAATACTAGTTTTTATTGTTCAAAATAAAACAGACCTTTATTAAGTGTTGCTTTTCATTTTAAATCTGATAACTCAGAGTTTTATAGCTTTTGAAACGGATCCTTTGAAGACACGTGAGCAGTTTTGTTTGTTTCTCTGACAAGTTTTATGGAACTGGAAAGTTGGATCAATGGTCAAACCAATAAAACTTTGGCGTCCATCCTTCTTAAAAGACAAGGCGGAAGTTTTATGTGAGTCAAGGAACATGTTGATAGATAATATTAATAAAATCTTTTCATTTGGGACTATTTTACATGTAGATTAGCTCATTTCAGGCAGGTTGTTTCTTTAGAGGCTCTCACTTTAAACTGCATCTTCAAACCTGAAACAGCCATGGGAGCCATACAGGAGTTTCTTGACAACAGAGCGTGTCCGTAACTTTTTTTGGGGGGGTTTATTTTTCTCTTCTTGTTGGTGTCAGACAGGTAAGGTGGACCCTCACCACCCTCGGGTATCGGGCCACAAAGGACACGTGTTGGACGTCAAATGGAATCCCTTCAATGACTACTGCATCGCCTCCTGCTCTGAAGACGCCACGGTGTGCACACATACACACACGTACACACACACATATTACCAGAATATGAGCTATGAGGCAGATAATTTATGGCCCTGTGCGTTGGCAGAGCCTCTTAGATCAAAATCCTGCAAACCAAAAGCAAAACCTGCTGCTTAGTTTGGACGTTAACTATTTGTAGTTGACCCTTTTTGTCTGTTAGCAAAATATCTCATGAACTGCTGGATAGATATTACTAAAACCTTTAGACAAAAATCCTTAAATATACTTCTACAGCTGATTAATAGTTGGAGCCAGTTCAACTCAAGATGGCTGCCACAGCTAACTGACCTTAGGAAACATAAAAATGGCTCTAATTCAGTTAGTTTTATTTACATTGAGCTAAAATTTGGTGTGGTTGTAGCCGAGAGCTGTTCCCAACACAAACTCTTCACTCTGCTGATTGTTTACCTTTGCCTAAAAGTTTAACATTAACTTTTGGAGTCACATCTCTTTGTCTGTTAGCAAAATATCTCATGAACCACTGGACGTATTTTGATCAAACTTCCAGTAAATAATCGTTGGATTTACATCTAAAACCATTTAAATTTTGGAGTCAGCCTAATTTAAGATGGCTGCCACAGCTAATTGAAAGTAGCCAACACTAAAATGGCTATAATTCAGCCAGTTTGATAGATTTTCAGCTAAAATTTGATGTGGTAGTAGCTGAGAGTCATTCACACCAAAAAATCTAGTTACATGTATTTGTTCATGTGCATGTAGGTGAAAGTGTGGGAAATCCCTCCCCACGGCGTCCTGAAGACCCTAACGGTGCCATGGAAGGAGCTGCAGGGTCACAGTCGCAGGGTGGGCCTCATCGAGTGGCACCCGACCGCTAACAACATCCTCTTCAGCACTGCCTACGACTACCAGGTAAGACAAACACACACACAACACCTACACATCCCTGATACCACCCTTCAGGGAAAAAACATATTTAATGGCATTAAAGTACATCTGAACATTAAAGTCCCCTGCTTCCTGTGCTGTCTGACCTTTTGCACACATGCAGTATAAGTTGTGCAGATTTGCATGTTTGTACACTTTGCATATCTTTTCATCTTCATACAAAAGAAAACAAAAGTCAAATTCTCTCAATGGGTTTCTGTCTGTTTTTTAAACACACAGGAGTGAAACAGCAAGAGATAAGACATTTATTAGATAAGAAAATTATGTTCTGTTGTAACTATATACAGTACATATACTGTATATTTATATGTAAACAAAAAGTATTTTTTACCATTTTAAAGTAATAGTCCAAATCTTTTGAGCAATGTTTTTGGTGATATCTTATTTTCTTTCGAGAATAATTTTAGTAAATTAAGTTAAATATTTTAAAAGGTATAAATGCACACTATGAATGATCTTGCTGAAGATTTTGATGTGTGAATGCTTAATTTAGTAGATGATGTTGTGAAAGTAGTTTGATTGCAAAAAAATAAAAAAGAAACACTAGTGAGCGTGTTATGTCTGCGTTCACACCGTTAATATCTTACCTGTTGTAGATGGCTCAATGAACGACCTCTGTTTGCAGAACTAGAGTGTAGTTCTGATCAGGCTGACCACTTCAGGAGCAAACTGAGGCACTTTAAATCCTTCAATAGGAAATAAACAACATGTAAAACAGCTTTTATATTAACCACAGTCATTTTGTGAGATTAGCAACAATCCACTGTGATCTAAACCCCATTCCTACTAGCCATTAGCTTGTCAACCTGGTCAGAGTTCTCAGCTGGTGGTCATTCCAAGATCTATCTCCAGCAGGTAAGATGTTGACTGTTTGTAAGCTTTCTACAGAACATCACCTCATAGGCTCTGAACAAATAACTCATTCAATAAGAAACAAACTGTAGATCAAATGCTTCTCATTTTAACTTACTGAGCATGTTTTTTGTACCCTTTTTTTTGGCTCCAGGTGATGATCTGGAACCTGGACTCTCCGGAGTCGGTGATAAAGAACCCGGTCCGGACCATCACACACCACACAGATGTGGTTCTGTCCATGTCCTTCAACACAGATGGCAGCGTCCTCGCCACCGCCTGCAGGGACAGGAAGGTCCGGCTGATGGAGCCGCGCTCAGGGAACCTGCTGCAGGTGTGTGTGTGTGTGTGTGTGTGTGTGTGTGTGTGTGTGTGTGTGTGTGTGTGTGTGTG